AAATTCTTTTAATCAATATATTACATTTAAAAAAAATTACCATCTTGTTTGTTTTAGTTATATTTTGAAATATTACAATTGATTAATTTTTCAAGATGTCTTTTTTTGATTATTTAACATTCTTAACAGCTAGTTTTGTCAAACATGATTTGTTCATCAGTTTGTTTATCTGACAAACATAGCTTCACGTACATTGTAGGGTGTCTATGTCATCACTCAATTATCGTAACATAATAGAAAAATAATGATTCTTTTAAAAGGTGTCACTTTTGTGATTCGATGTGTCATTACAGAGCATTATCGTAGAAAAATTGAGAAGCTACAATAATATATCAAAAATTTAAGTTTGAGATTTGATGTTTTACTGTAGCGGAACATAAAAAATTTAACTATATATAAATCATTAAAATTTCATCAAATTTCTTAGTGTTTTGTGCGATTATAATTAATATTTTTAATTTGTATTTCCTAATTAGTTTTTATTTTATTTTATTTTTAATTAATTTTCATTTTAGTGCTTTTCATTGTAACCCTTGATAGTAAGGTTACCATAATGATCATAAACCCTATGTTTTATCATATTGTTTATGAATAGAAAGTTATATGAAACATGTTTAAAAGCAAAAAAATATGGACATGAAGTTTAATGTGTAAAACATGGTGTGACTAAAGTTGTATAAAATTATGTTAGATTAAGGTGTCGTTTACCAAACACTTACCTGGGTAAACGCTTACCATATCACATTACTTTACCTGATGAATATGACAAGGACTAAGAATCTTACCCGGTAAGAGCGAAAATAAAAATCGAGAGTCTTACCCGGGAAGTGAGGGAGACGACTCTTACCATGATTAGCACTTACAGGGATAAATTGTTGCATACAATATGTTTTGGTGAATAAAATTTTACTCAGTACGTAAACGATAGTGTTGAATTTTACCTGTAAACGCTTACCGAGTAAGTTTTTAGGTAAACGGCCTCTAAGTCAATTAGCAAGTGAAAAAAAGCTTATTATAAACATCTTGATGAAGTATTATTTAACTTTCATGAAAATATTCCTGAGCATATGAGGAACTCAAGAACTGGTGTGTATTACGATTGAGGTTGAATAAAATTCAAACAGTTGATATAAAGTTGATAAAAAAATACTGATTATTGGAAAAAGTTTGAATTAAAAAGGAATTTTAGTGCATGAGAAATACAAGGATCTTTAAGTAGTTTTTTATTATAAAAAAGTAAAATATTTTAGAAAATCCATTTGAAAATCAAGTTAATGAATTTGTTAAGAATCCCAATCCTAATGACAACATAAAAAATCCTTGTGATGATCATAAAACATTAAAATCCTTGTAATGATATGTTAAAGTCAATGAAAACATTGAAATTCTTTTTACTGAAAGCTTACTTTCTATACTAATATCAGTTTTTTGAAAAATACATTTCTCTTGTACGTATTGTGTTTATAAGTTACAAAATAATGATTGTTTTGATAAAGAAGTGGTAGATTTACACGAAAAACTAAGGGTTAGTTCGGTTTACAAGATTGTTTTTGAGGGATTTGGATTTGGATTTGGATTTGGATTTGGATTTGGATTGGAATAGATTTGAAATCATTGGTGTGTTTGGTTTGTAGGATTTGGATTGGAAATGGGTTTCATTATTTATAAATAATTTATAGAAAAAATTATAAATAATTATAAAAATAATTGAATTACATTTTTATTAACTGATGATTACAAAACAAATGTTTTTAACATTTTTTAAAACCTTATTGCATACAATCCTACGAAATCCCATGAAACCCCGAGCACTACCTAAGAATTTCAAAATCCTATATTTGAAGTGTGATAACCGGGTATGCGGTGTTAAAACCTAGGGTGGTTTTTGAAAAGTTTGGATAAGTTAAGGGGTTTAAAGTGCTTATTTGCTTTAATAATATTAAGAGAAATATTACCACCGCCTCTTTATTTGATTACATGAGATAAATTTTGTTTCTCTCCTTGGGAGGAGATTTTAAAAAAGGAAAGTTGGTAAAAAGAGGTTTTACTCTATGTGTGTGTTTTTCGTACAAAGAAAACAGAAGCCAACAGAGATTTGAAGGCGAAGGGATTCTGTGAAATTATTTGGATTAATTGTTATTCATCATCCTATCTTCATCTCTTTGTGATTAAGGTGAGTTACTTTCAAACTTTCCTTATTTGGTAATTTGGAGAAAATAGAACCGTATGGTTCTCTATATGAGCATATGTTTATAAAACTATTTCAAGATGCTATTTTTAGCATGATGGTGAGTTTTGATATGTTTATATCATGTGTGGAAATAAGGGTGACATATCAAGGAGATGTGTATTTTGGGTTATAATGGTGGCATGTCAAGAAGATGTGTATACTAGGATAAGGGTAGCATCAAGGAGAGGTGTATACCAGGATAAGGGTGACATAATCATGAAGTATAAAATATGGGCTTTTGATTAAACATTTATAATTATCGCATCCTTATGATGCGATGACTTAGAGTTATCGCATCTGTGTGATGCGATGACTTAAAGTTGTCGTATC